CATATTCATTCGTCCGCCTGCTTGTTTGCTCACTCATTCGCTCGCTTGAGAAAAGTGACAATGAAAAGGGGATCAAAAATAAAGTGAAATTTTATTGATTAATTAATAAGTGGTGAAATCGATTGCCGAACGGCATCTTTTTGGGGAACTAGATACAAACAATACGGAGAGTCTAAAAAAGAGTCGGCTTATTAAATTTTGATGATGAAAGCAAATGAGCTGAGCAATGGCTTTCGCATTAAATTGGATATAGTATTAGTCAACTATTTTTGGATTTCACTCTCGGCGGCTCCCAAACTCTAAAGCCCCACAATTTTCCCATTTTGTATTTACTAGATATTCGTTCAAATCGAAGTCGGAACTAAGGGGATTTATCTATCGCGAATGCTGCGAATGCATTCGCATTTCAGAACAAAAATTCGAATGTTTGCGAATGCGACGAATACGGCTATGACAGCGAACTTGTGACTACATAATTCATTCGTTCATTCGTGTTTGTGCATGCATTCGCAACGCTGCCGTATGATTTCTATGTAAACATTCGCACTCGCATTCGTGAGAACGTTCGAGAACAGCGAAATACGACTGCTATACGAATGCGAGTGCGAATGTTTACATAGAAATCATATGGCAGCGTTGCGAATGCATGGCACTGAGCGCGAATTTGTGAATAAAAATTTGAATGCCAAACCGACATAGAAGCCCCTAGAGTCGGACACGAATTTGCACTACAGAAAATCCGGTATACTAACATTACTACGCCAGATAGATGTAGCAACTTCTTAAGAATGAATAAAGTTATGAGTATGCATGTATTTGGACGGTTGTCTATTCCAATTGGTAATTCATACAGCCACCACCGCCACCCCACTTGAAAAAAAGAAGATAATCACGAATTGTTTGATGAATGTAGAGCATTACACATTGATTTGCACAGCGGATGTGTAAAGTTTGGCGAACTCGTTGTTTGCCACGTTATTTGATGCCATCGAGTTTTCAAGTTCGAAACTAATCTCTCTCTCTCTCTCAAACTTCCAGCCAATATAACATTCGGTTTGAGTGTTGAAAACATGAGTGATTCCGATTTATCAATTTCAAGTCGAATGTAAATGTGCCGGCGGCGATTTTCTCTTGAAACTTTTTCACGGCATTTCCATATCTTTATGTGTGATCGCGAACTATAGTGAGCGGTGGAATAAAAATGAGCTCGCTTATGATTGCCAATGATTTACGTTTCCTTGGGCAATGTACTTGCCGTGGCAATGTTGGTTGGGTGCATGTATATATATATATGCTAATCGTTCCATTTATTGCCAAATCATGTAGCATTCACCAAACTTCTGGTATTACTAGCGCATTTCTCATTTTATAGTTGTTTAAAATGAATTTTTTAAGTGATTGAGAGATATGAATGCGAGGAGATGAATGAAAACGGATAGAGGACCTTGCACTCATCATATATTTCTATCAAACTCTTTGCGAGAGAAATAATGAGCGCATGAAAAGTTTTCATCAATTTTGGATGCATTTAAATTTGTTGGATGTACGAAAAATTAAATCTATCTGTGAGTGAGCGAGAGAGAAGAGTGTAGCGAAGTTTTTCTCGTTTTTTTTTTGTTGTTTGCCGAATCAAAGATCCGAAGACCGTAAATTGTAGCACCCTCATGCGCGGATGCTACTGCTGATGATCATGATGATGATGTTGGCAATGGCGGCTGCAGTAGTCCGTTGTCGGCTATACAATTTAGTATTATTCTAAATTCAGTTATGTTATGACTTTTTCAGGCCAGTTCGTCGTTCAAGTATTGCTTGTTGGTGTGTTGATGTGTGTGTAGCTTGTTAATACACGAAGTTGTTTCATAATTTGATATACTGGCTAAAGTGATTGTCGGTTGCGAAGGAAAATGAATGGCACAGCATCGCATCATACGAAAGTTATATAAATCTTTTTCGCATCCTCACACTCAGTGGTTTCTCATCGGCAAAAGAGTCAGTGGCTCTTGCGTTTTGCATGCAATATACACGATGGAACGAAAGAGCTATTAGCTTTGTACTCATCAAAATTTATGTAATTTTCATCTATTATAGGTCATTTAAAGTTGAAATTATTATTTTTTTCTGCAGTGCCGTTGTGTGCTGTTGCTTGGCATGGATCAGCCAAAGCGGAGCGAGACAGCAAGAAAGAGAGAGTGGTAAAGATGCAGAAGGGAAAAATGTCGGAAACTTTTCGAAATACTCGAAAATCATGACGTGTATGCAGTACGCAAAATGGGCGAATAAAACATGTCGAAATAAATGTAATTAAAGCGTAAACTTTTTTATCAAAATTTTTTTTTTGTTCGATGGCGTTGCCGTTATACATCGAAAAAAATTGATTCGGTTTAACAAATTTGTTGCGATATATATCCAGCCATAAGCGCTTCCATACAACATATCATCCACATTCAGATCATCGTCCATCGTATTTTTTTTCTCTCTCTCTCTCTCTCTCTCTCTCTCTCTCTCTCTCTCTCTCTCTCCTGTCTCTACACTTTTGGCTTCTTTAATTAATATTAGATGAGGGCTATTTTCGTTGATGGTGCTTTCTTTCTCCCTCACCGAATTTTTTTCCGTCAAATTTCTGCTTTCGTTCTCCTTCCATTCGCATGTGCACTTAAGATGATTTTAAATAGCATTTATGAAAGTTTCTGGGAATTTTTTTTCCCTCTTGTTTGGTTGTTTCTGGTTGCTGAGACGAAAACTCTATGGAAAAATCTGGCTTCGCCAGTTGACTCTTCAATATTTTAGTGGTTTAAAGTGAAAAGTAAGCAATTTTTAATTATAAAATTCAGTTTCATCACGTTCAGTTTTCATTTCCATGTGGATTTTATGCGGGTGTAATAGATACATCTATACACATTTCTTCTGGCATATCCCGAAAAAAGCAGCAAATTAATTCGGAAATATATAATTGATGGGAGAAAAGTTGCCTAGCCTAAACGATATTTGCGCATTTACAATCAGATCGACGATTTTTTTTTCTCGCTTGCTTATTTTCGGTGCACGACATACACACACAGAGGAAAAATACCAATTGAAAAGCCAGCAAATTATAACGATTTGGCTTTTTCACGAAATCAAGTAACAGTCTAATGATGTTAAAAATCGATCAATTTTCTCTCGTTCGTTTCGTCGTTGCCATGCATCACATTATATTTGAACCCGTGAGCATAAAAACGACTTATTAAACAATCGCCGAACAAAACGATACAAGAAAAAACTACCAAACAAAACACACGTTAAAAACGTAACACAGTAGGACGGTACCGTTCAAAACGAAACTCCGCTGTGCTACACATTACCGCTGTGGTACGTTTTGTTCGGTAGTTTTTTCTTGTATCGTTTTGTTCGGCGATTGTTTAATAAGTCGTTTTTATGCTCACGGGTTCATTTTTGCTTGATCATTTTGAATGGAAGATATGCCGAAAAATGTGGCAGAATGACTGTTTTATAGTATACACACGAGCACACACACACGCACACACACAAACCACTATGATATAAAATTGTTGAAGTCGATGCAGTCTATAATAAATTCCTACGAGTCAATTTATGCGATAGAAAATGCGAATCGAGAATGTTGAATTTATTTTGATTTCGAAGATGATGGAAATGTATGTTAATTCATTGAAATGCTTCACAATGTGTACACATCTATAAATGTGTATTCGAGCGAGCGAGCGAGCGAGTGAGAGACGAAAGAATGAACGAAACCGAACGGAAAACGGTAAAAAAAACAACAAAGCAACGGAATTTTCGGTGCACGATGCCAACTGATGATGAGGACGACAGAGAGAGAGAATCGTTTTTGATGGGATTCAAATGAATTTTTTTCTTTCAGCTGGATAAGAGTGTGTGTGTGTGTGTGTGTGGAGTTGTTGGCATTGTTACTGTTGCGCTTCGGCTTCATTTATTCACCGCTTCGGCTTGCTCCTCTCTTACTCACTGTCTCTTCTTTTTCTTTTTTTTCTTGAATAACTGTCTAGTAATTATGCAAATTAGAGCGCAAACCAAGAGGGAATCAAAAATTGAACGAGAAATTCTGAATGTGCGCGCGAATACATACACACAGAGAGAGAGAAATATTTTACGGAATTTAGTAATTGCCGCACTTTTAATGTACGATTACATGAATCAAGAAATATTAGCCCTCCATACTTTTTTTTTCGGAATCCTCCGTCGAATTTCTGGCGAACGATTTTTTTCCCATTAAATATATTTTGGGTGCCAGTCTGATATTGCCTGTCTGTCAAATCGTTGTGCGTTTTGCCTCATCATTTCTCTCCCACATTCTTCCTCTCAATCGTTCGATTCGGCAATTGCCGTAGTGGTTTTTCCGGTTGGCTGGCAAAATTCTGCCTATTGGCGGATGCTGAAACGGCTTTCAACTTGAATTTTGATTATAAAATTCAAACATTTAATATGGTAATTTGGTTGACGAAATTTTATCGAGAAATAAAATGGGATAGTAGCCGTAACGGCAACAACATGCTGATTCCGGGTGACGGCTGTGTGTGTGTGTCTGCGTATTGATACGCTGAATCGTAATCAAGGCTCATTCCTAATTTATTTTCCATTTCAAACCAAACACCAGACCGTGTATTTTGTGATGAGAGTGAAAATGTCTATCTATCTACCGTACGATCATGACTAAATCACTCCAATCATAAATGCATTGGGAAAACGCGAAAAATCAGTGTGCCGCACAAATGACGGAAAGCCCTTGTGCAATCAAATCCACCAATTGATTTTGTGGATTTTCTTTGATTAAGCTTGAATGGGAAATGTAATTAAATGTGAAATTCCATCGGAAAATGCGCATAAAAGTTCAAAGTCGTCATCGTTGCCCAAGAAGAAAAAGAAGAGCAACAACAAGCAACAAGAAGAAGATGGGGACGCAAATGATGATGATGGAGAAGATAGAAAGTAGAAAACCGATTCAATGGTTCTTTTCAACTTACCGGCATAGTTTGACTTCCGTGTAAACTCGTAATGGCTGCTTGAGCTTCTTGATGAGAACTAAATTTAACAAAAGCACAACCTGAAATGATACAAGAAAATGGTTACGGATTTTGGGTTAGAGAGCAAAGTTCAAGTTCAGTATTTGTGCATAAATAAATTTTTAATTTATCATCATTTTGTTCCGTCCCTCCGACCAACTGCTCATGCCAACAATGTGTTTTCATTCATTGAAAGGTAGAAGTATTGTAATGGCCATTATGTTCAGTGCCTGTTGAATTTTTTACCGAACTTTTCCGAGGCGAACATACATGGGCAGAAAGGAACAGCTTTGGTTTCAAAGGGCGTTTTACATAATTCATGTGTATTTAACCCCCCTTCTACCACATTCAACCGACATACACACATAGATCGAGAAAGACAAAGACACTAACACTCGGACACAACGTATCAGGAATATGCATACCTTTAAACGATAAACACTAAAACTGGTAACCGGAATGTCGACCATATGAATCATAATATTCTAATCGATTTAACAGCAATAAACTGAGATTTATTGTCATCGTGACATAAAGAATGGTTTAACCCTTTTTTCTCATCGTTTCATTAAAATCGTTCCAACAAGAGAATATGCGTAAACAAGAATGGTTTTCAATTTAAGAAAAAAGCCAAGTGTGCAAAAAATTCACTGAGCTATGTAATACATATACAACGAAAATCGTGAAAGGCACTTTTCGCCTGACCCAAGCATACCAAATATCTTTCGATGTAGAGAAAAAAGACCTTTGTTCCACCTCTCTTTTTCTTGGTGATTCTCTCTCTCTCTCTTTTTCATGAAATTTTTAAAGGAGATCACAATTTGGCCGCTTACAATGAATTTGAGATGTCCTTTATATTTCATTTCATTTCGCATTTGCCTCATCCTTTCGTTCGCATTTTGTGTCTATTTGGACACGAGGAATTCGGTGACATCAAAGTGATTTTGTATACTAATTTGCACTGCTGTTAAATGTTTCATCTTTACAATCCTTCCTTGTCGTTGGCGTTGCCGTTATCATCAATGTGGTATTTTTCTCTGTGTATTTCCCTTTCGTTCTTGTTGTTTTTTATTGTTTCACTCTCTCTCTCTTGCCCGCCAGCTAATAATTTAGGATCGGCTCTCTTATTTAATATATCATTGAATTTTCAATCGAATTCTTCTACTTCAAATTAAATTGAACTATTCATTGAGTCGGAACCAATAAGACTAAAATAAACTGAAATGATAAAAGGGCGAATAACGAATCCTTACAAAACGAGAAATACACCAGAGCGCGAGTACGAAAGTAGTGAATCGGATACGGGAAGGAAGGGAGCAAATTGCTCTTGTGTGTTATTGGAACAAGAAAATGAAAGGAGGAACAACTCAGTTTTCTGTTTGTAATGAAATTCGATTAAAATGAAAAGGGAACGGGAAAAGCGGAAAAGTGAATTGAGCGGGATAGGGGAAGAGAGAAGAGAGTGAGGAAGAGAAAAATAAAAGAAGCAAAAAAAAACACGACGCACATACCGTATTGGTTTTATATCAATTGTAGAAGTCTAGCAAATGGCAAACACAAAGTAAACCATAAATACACCAGGTAATTGTGTGTATGTAACCAATTCAGTTAGTGAAATGAACATGGAAACTTGAAACGAAGCCATTGCACAAAAGAACAGCAAAAATATTAATTAGTTTCATTCAATAATTAGTCAACGGTGGCGATGGTGCAACAAAGTTTCACCATCACCATCCCCACCCCGCATCATGCGGCACTTGTCGCCACTGTGTCGTCGATCGAAACCCAAAGACATCATCGATCCAAACTTCAAGTCGAACCGAAGAAAATTTAATGAATTTTACCAATAATAAATAAGATTTACTGCAATATATCAAACATGTAAGTTCAACGTATAGCCAAGTGCAATTCCCGTACAATGGACGCAAAGAATTCGGAATGAAACAGGTGGAAAAGTAAAAAAAAACCAATGACAGAAAAGATAAATGATGAAAGAACACGAAAAAAATAAATCTAAGTATATCGATGGCCATTGGCCATTGCAATTGTAAATACTTTTCCAATTCGATTAATTCGAAGAAATTCTATTACACGTGCTAATAAAAGACGATTTGATCAAAAGCTGTATCCTTTAGTTCGATTTTGTTGTTTTTGAGAAAAGGTCACACATTCACACACACAGAGCAATGAAAGTAATACGCTTTCGCTGTAATAAAGTGGATAATTTTTCCATTGAATGTTTCGAGGATGTTCCGACTTCCGTGAAAGTTCAATCAAATCAACGAAACGATAAATAGCAGATGGATGGATAGAAGAGCCAATGAACATGTGTATACGGCAAAAACTGATGAAATTGAAACCATGAAAACAATTATACTCACTCTCAAACTTCTACCATGCATCTTTATGAATAGGAAGTATTGTATATTTGCCTAAGAAACTGATGTACGATATCTTTTCTTGTATAAGCTCATTTATTTTTACCGCGGTGATTCAAACCGCCTTGAGCCATCCAATAGAATTAGACTAATTTACTGATTATTATAGAACACGAATGAATTTCCACAGCTATTCTCGAACTATGGCTATGCCGCACAATCTCATTCATAATCGAATACTCCGAGGTGTAGATAACATGTTGATATTTATAGAGCCGAAAAATTACTATCACAAAATAATCCGAAACGCGTGTTTCGATGTTCGCTTCGCTCTCATTCATTTATTTTTCATGTGGATCATCAAATATGCGGATAAAAGTTATGCCATAGTGAATTCAATCGAATCCAAAAACTATGCAATTCGTCATCAGTTTGACGGACGTTACATACAGTGAGCGTACTGTGCCAGACACACACATACACACACACACATTCTCTGCAACTTTGTTATCAAGTGTGATGAACAACGTAATTTCGACACCTGAAAGTGTATCAAAATATTGCGAATGAAAGACAAGAATAGCGAATGAACAGCATGATCAAAAAAAAATGTTGAAAATTTCCAAGAATGTTAAAGTTTTCAAGTACAGTGTGTGTATATGGTATAGAACTGCGTGCGTGAATCAAGTGAATTACACAAATGTAAAAAGTTTCGAACGGTGGATGGAAATGTTGGAAAGGAATGTGAACACGAAAAGATAGAGAGAACAAAGACAATGTTAAGGAGCGCCGTGACATAATCGTGAACGATTCGAACGAAACCAAACCAGCCAGCCAGCCAGCCAGCTCAACCGGAGCAAAGTGAGCAACACCAGCAACGGAGAAGTGAATTTCATGAAAATGAAGAGATCGCTCAAAAAGGCAAAAGTAACGCGAAACGAACGAACGAAACAAACATATATCATAAATTACGAAGTTGCGGCGAGATTAATGTAGAGCAAAAACAAGAACGGAATCGGCGCATTTTAGTGAAGCGAAATAGATGAGATGAGAATGAGCGAGTGCAAGAAAATGGAGAAAAAAAAGCGAAACTTACGTAATTTATTATTAGTTTCACATTACAATGATACACAACACCATCGCCACTGCCTTGTGAAAAGTTTGAAGATTTCGTTCATTTTCATCGTCAAGAAATTGATGACACATCTCTATATGTGTGAGTGTGTGTGTCGGTGACTTACTTCTTACAAAATAAAATGGCTACGAATAAAACCCGGAGATAGAGATATGAAATATTGAGAACGATGGCGACGGCGCTGATAGAAGAATGGCGTAATGGCAAGGAGAGACAACAAACAGGTACGAATCGCATTACATTTCTTCGAGATTTTATTATGTGCGTCGCCATGATAAAGTGTATAATGGCTACAATACATTCGTAGTATTGTATTGCGACGGATTATATTGTAAAATATAGGAAAATTGTTTCTTCTTCCCATATTTATTTTTTTCAATCTTAGTCGCATTTTCTGTTGCCTTTTACTCCTTGTGTAAAATGTTGCAGTGCGAAAATAAAAGGAATCTCTTCATTCGCATCACCGGCGTGTATGCGTGCAAAGATAAAAGCTTGCTTGTAACTTTGAAATGCTATGGATTCATATGTAGTGTTGTCAGTCGTCGTCGTAGTGTAGTCGACATACATTACATACGATACAGCATATTTCTCGGATAAAACGTCTTGTAGTTTTAACAATATAATTTTAAATGTTTTGCTCTTCTCTCCGCATCCAATTGCATACGGCTCTCTGAGTTACATACACCGTATAAGACGACACATAATTGCATTATATGACTGAACACGAATGCCGTCGTCATTTGAACAAAGTTTCCAAAGAACTTTACTTCTTCCGAAGCTAAATTACACATATTATGATTACATTTTCTCTCTTTCACAGCTGCCGAACAAATAGTTTATTTCTGACGAAGAGGTGAAGTGGCGAACGAACAAGAGCTAGATAGAGACGGTGTGTGGGGTAGATTTCTCATCGTACAAATACGTATACGAGACGACATATTACTTGTTATAGAAATTTCGACATAAAATGTCGCCATTTTGCCGGTTGTCTCCACTTAGTTCACTAACTAGTGAAACATCATTTCACATGTGCGTTTGACGGAGTGAAGAGCTATACGGATCTTCTTTTTTTATTCCTCTTCATTCCATGTGAATGAAAATTGGAATGAAAATTTTTTTCTTCGAAACCATATCCGAGGAAAGAAAGACGAGCGAAGAAAATGAGGAAAAAGAAACGCACACACACACATTTGATGCACGACAAAATAAAAAATGTCACCAATAATGTAAGGTTGCGAATGGTGGGAGTGCGATATGATACATTGACATTTGACGAGTATGTTACTATCAATGCTTCGCGTGTTTCATTTTACAGTTAAATTTGCTAAAGTGTGCATTGTTGAAGAAGTCGAGATGAGGCAAAATTTAAGCAAAATTATCGAAATAACAGGAAATGAGTTTATTGAAGCAGGAAATTAGGTTTTTGCATTTCTGCAAAATAACAACAGCAACAACAACAACAAAAACACGAACGAGAACGAGCGAACGAACGAATGAGAGAAGAAGTAAAGCGAGACAAGACTGGAGC